ATACCAGTTTGTGATTTTTTTTGTATTAATCCAATTTAACGAAAACTAACGGAAGGTAAATTTGTCACACGTGTACTAGTTTTGAGTTTTTTGTGATTGAAAAATTAGTTTGGAGTAAATTTATAACAAATATACCAATTTAAGATTTTTAATAATTAAAAAATTAATTTAAAATAAATTTATTTTATATGCATCAGTTTGAAATTTTTTGTAATATTAATGCTTTTTAATACAAAGTCTTTTTGGCCACATCAGTTTCCCTCCTCTTTACATCTCCGAGTCAATTGCGTTTAACTCCATCTCCGAGTCAATTGCGTTTACCTCAAAAAGTACTATCGTGCGGACTGTTTTAAGTGCATTTATTCAACGGATAAGGTGATATGTACTGCCTTTTTCGTTAACACGGTATCTCGTGCCGATCCCTTAGATTCAGCTGCTAGCTCTGACAATCTGTTCATAGATCACGAGGTACCAAGAATCACGCAGAGCAGTTCTTAAATCTCCGCTTATCTTTTACGCTTGGACCACCTGAATTGTTAGCTAGATCAGTCATTTGACTTTTCGAACAACGATAAGGTCAGGACGTACAAAACTAAATATATAATTGAAGGAATATTTTTTATTTTTGGAAAATGTTTGTGGAACTGACCTAGAAACTATGATGAAATGTTCATGATAGGGAAAGACAAACCGGAGTATGGGTCGAGGTTGCTTCCTTGGGTTGGAAAATATGACTTTCAAATTGATGCTGCCGTGATTTTGTTACTAGGTGCCCTTGGGGCTTTTGCTAAGTATATAATGGATAATGTTTGCAAATTTTCGATGCACCGTTATTCTTGAGTTATGTCAACTTTTCATTGACAAGACATTTCTTTATTAAGATCATATGTGATCAAGGGATTGGCGGCAAGCACAGGTCCCTTCTTTAGATTGGTTGTTGGTCGATGAAGTCAGGATCATGTTCTGAGAACGTCAGAGCGATAGGGTTATAGGAGCGCCAATGGATGGATTTGAACTAATCCAACTTCGCATTGAGAAGGAAGTCCTGCCTCTCATCTCAATGGAGGGAACATTGGATCTTATATCCAAACATATGGATGAAGACAACTAAACAACTAATCAAAACTTGTAGTTCCATTACAATGATTAATATCGTACTCTAAAGGTTCTAATTAAAACTTAACTTTAAAACTAGCCATAAACTTTGAAGTACATAGCCCATATAAAATTGATAATAAAAAAAATAAAGATTGGGGGTCTCCTGAGTTAGTGTTGAAGTTCATTGTATATAAGCTAAAAGATTGAAGTAGTGGGGTTTTTTGTCATTTATTTATCGAAGACTTTCCAAATTTCCCATTTCATTGAAATACTATTCCAAGTCATCCTGGGATAAAGCGTTCTTTGTCAAACAAAAATGAGGGAAGTGCGCCCACATATGCGCATAAATGTTTGATGAATAATTCTCATCATATATATACAAATAACAATTACTTTTTGTGTGAATTCTTACTGATCAAGTACATAAATAATCGGGATAATTGTCCAAAAAGCCATAGGCCTTTTGTATGACAGTCAATTCAGTCTTCAACATTTCAATTGTGCCAATTTAGTTCTAAACCTTTTGACGATTTGCCAATTTAGTTTGAAACATTTCTTTGTGTCAATTTAGTTGAAAATTTGCTAATTTCGTCCTAAACCTATTATTTGGATATTTGGCCAGTAGAAGTATACTGGCAAATCATCAAAAGGTTTAGAAATAATTGGCAAATCATTAAAAGCTTTGGGACTAAATTCGCTCTATTGAAAGGTTTAAGACTTAATTGACCTCTATATAATAGGTTTAGAATTTTTTGGACAATTTTCTTTAGACAATTGGTCCGTTGCCTCATCTGAGTTCTAATCTTTTGTGATTGTTAGATTTGATAGAAGAGTTTCCGATTGAGGTGCTCGTATGATTTTGACTTTCATGATTATGGATATGTAATCGAGATGGTATATCACTTCCTTTTTGAGGTTAGATAATCTAAATGTAAGAGGAAATAATAAAGGTAATACCCAGAGTCCATCGGAAACCTAACGAGTGCCCCCATTAACTTATATAGGCAGTATTGACTATTGAGCGTCCGTTGGAAACCTAATTAGTGCTCCGTTAATTTCAGGGTTTGGACGGCTTCTAGATTTTATTTACAACATATTATAGGGTTTGGACGGATTTGAGAAATATATCAAACGTTATTGAGACAAAAAAGACAAAACCCTAGATAGAGTTCATTAAAGAAAAGATGAACCCCACATCAAAGGTGTTGTTGAACACAGCAAACCCCAATCATTGATCAACATTACACACCCCCATGCAATCATAGACTAAACAAAAAGATCGTACGAATCCCTCTCTTTTCTTTTCCCTCCAAGCGGGTCACAAGAACAGATTAATAAAAGAGAAAAAAAGTAGAAAAAACAAGAAAAGAAAAGAATGGTCGCTTGGCATTTTGTTCCCATTTCGAAGAGCTTTCAAAGCCCGTTCCGTGGACGCGTGTTGTGGGGGAAGGAATGGAGAAGAAGCCGTGAAAGCGAAAGCAGAGCAACTTCCACTCTTTCTACATTCAATATCTACTTAGGAGATGGAGAGCTTCTTTTCCTTGGTGGCTCACGCTTTTGAAGGATGTGACAGCATCATTTGTCGGAAGTTCTGTAGAGAGGGGTTCGCTCGAGCCTGGCCTTCGGTTGGGTTCTTAAGCTGTGTTGCATATTTGTAGCTACCAGTCCAAAGGTACATGTGGTCACTAAGGTTAGAAGTAGTGGATTAGTCGAACCGGAAAATTCGTTCATTCGAACGGGACTTCCGTTAGCTATTAGATCAGGTGGGGTATGTCAAATATAACGGTTCAGATTAAATCCATCCACCGTCGATTGGATATGCATGAAATGTTTCTCCTCGATCAGAGGGATGGATGGAGCAGAATCGTCGTTTTCGATTTACAATTGCTAGTCAGTTGACAGAACCTGTTACTTTGTGTGGACCTTACGATGGTATCATGCAATAAATGTAGTCACTTTCTCCCAATAATATTCCACAAGACGACGTCCCGAAAGCCTGCCCTGAGGCCAAAAACATAAAGTAGAGGAGAGATGCGTATACCAAATATTTGATCCTCTCTGCGATGTAACAAAATTGTAACGCGATCCAAATCGAATTAAAGGCAACAAAAAGATGAGAAACGGCTAATCTAAGGAGAGATCGACAAGAAAAGGAAATATAATGATGGGACATTTCTTAATTAGAGGAGATTCACATGCCTCAAAAATAAATTTGTTGTGGCGATTGTTGATGATTCCTCTCTGGGGACTTAATCTAGAAACCAAATAAGCAAACTTCTCAAATTTCAGGCACTACTCTTCTTGGGGAAAAGTACCAAAAAAGATTTAAATATATTGCATTTATACCAATTCAGTCCTAAATCTTTTTATTGTGCCAATTAAGTCATAAACTTTTTAACGATTTGCCAATGTAATTATCAAGCCAATTTTCACCGGAAATTGCTAACATGGAGACCGGCCGTCTTACGTGGCACGACCGGTATTGACGTGGACAATTTTTTCAAAATTTTTTGAGTTTTTATTTTTTTTTTTCCTTTTTTTTTTTCTTTTCTTTCCTTTCCTTTCCTTTTTTTTCCCAACTAGGGGCCAACGAGGTCGCCGGCCGACCTTCACCGGCCACAAGCGAGGTCTGGGCATGGGCCTCCACCCCTTGCCGACCACAATCAAGGTATGGGCAAGGGCCTCCTCCCCTCAATGGCCATGGGCAAGGGCGTCGAGCCCTCACCCCGATCCAAGAGAGGGCTACAACCCTTGCCTGTTGGTCGGTGAGGGTCGCGACGCCCTCACCTGGTTTGGGCAAGGGCTGCAAGCCCCTCGTTTGTGGCCAGCGAGGGCATTGTGGCCCTCACCTAGATTTGGGCAAGGGCCCGACACCCTCGCTTGGGATCTTAGCAAAGGTACGAAGACCCTCGTCGGCCAACAGGCAAGAGTGTTGGTCCTCGCCGGATCTGGCTGAGGGCCGCGACGCCCTCACCCAAACCAGGCAAGGGTCGCTAGCCCTCACCAACTCAGAGTTGTAAAAAAGAAAAAGAAAGAAAAGTAAAGAGAAAAGAATAAAAACAAAAAGAATAAAATTCAGAAAAATATTTAAAAATTATACTATTAGTCCACATTAGTACTGTTCGTGCCACATAGGATGGTCGTTGTCCTTCTTGGTAATTTATGGCCAAAATTGACCGAAAGAACTACATTGACAAATTTTCAAAGGTTTATTAGTTAATTAATACAATTGAAAGGTTAAAAATTGAATTGGCACAATACAATAGGTTTAAGACTTTTGGTACTTTTCCCGCTCTTCTTGTGTATTGCGCGTAATTGATATTTAAGAAATCAGTATATTCTTTATTAAATGTCCAGTAAATGCACTACTCTTTCTCTATTTCAGATCCTGAGGATCATTTTCCTAAATTACAATAAGGGGAGAACACAAGTAAAGGTTACTTTACAGTTGGAACAAAACCTTAAGATTCCACAGGAAAACCTTAAGGTTGCTTTTCTTGTCTGTATGTGCATCAGAAGAGTCCTCTGATTGTTGCCCCTGTGGGAGAGAATATAACCTAATGCTCTCCCTTGTGAGGATGAAGTACTAATCTTGACTCTGACGTACCAACTAACTTGATTAATTTCTAGGTATGACTGTTTAACTTACCATCCTCTGAACCAAACCTAACACCAGCTTTCTCCCATCAACCAAGGGTCACATTCCATCTCTCTGGGAAGATGCTTTGCAGAAGCGGCAGGACTCTTTCCTTGGAGCTTCTTCGGTCTTTGGAAAAACCGATCTATCCTCGTACCGCATATGCATTTTTCACATTTCTCATATGAAGTGTTGTAACACGCAAATACTTAAAAAAGGAGCGACGAGCCGAGGTATCTTAGAGATTACCGGTCCTTTCGCTAGATACAACTAAATATGCACCCAAAGATCTCCTTTGTGAACTGTCTTCAATCAGTACAACTGGCTACTCATGTATCATTCCAAGCCACAACTTGTTCTTCACCCACAACTATGTACAGCAATATCACATGGAAAGTTCTATATCCCAGTGCGAAAGAGCGTATCGAAATCAAACCAAGCAATGCCCACAAAAAAGCATAGGAGGGTGAGTAAAATTGTGAAACCCCCAAAATTAATAACGATGTTAAGACTTGTCATTAGGAAATCAACGCTTGCCTCTGTAGTTCTTCACCTTCGGCGACGGTTCCATTGCAGTGGCTAATGTTGTCCCCTTGCCACGACCAAACTATGTCCTTGAGCGCAGGCCTAACGTCTTCTTCGCAGAATTTCAAGTACTCCAACGTGTCCCCGGCCGACTTGCAGAATTCAACCACCGCGACCTCTGGCGCCACCTCGAAGACCTCCGCTGTCACCGACAGCCGCCCCTTCCGCCCCTCAACTGGTCCCTGCAGCCTTATCTTGAAGTCCTTCACGCTCGCGACCTTGAAGCTTAACCCCTTCGCAAGCCCCTCGATCTTCGACATGATCGATGTTGCCGAGCACTTAGAGGTGAACATGGACCCGGCCTTCTGCTTTGTCTCGAAGAGGCTCGACAGGTCGAAGCCCGAAGACATCGATGAGATGAACTCGAATGCGTTGAAGAACTTCGGGGACGACGGGACCTTATTGGATTTAATCGACTCTGAATTCGCTAGCTTTTCCTCCTCTGCTTCTCTCTCGCCCGATGGGTTCTCTGATCCCGGGTCTGGAATCGAGAAAGCCAATGGCTGGCAGAATCCTTTCCGGAACCAGGGGTTACGCATTATTGCAGGGATTGTGATCCGCTTCTCGGGATCGGACACAAGCAGCCTCGACACAAGCCGCCTCGTGTCCGTCGAGAACCATGGCGGGAACTCAAACTCGGCCTTGAACACCTTTCGGTACATCTTCATCACGTTCTCATCCTGGAATGGCAGGAACCCTGCGAGGAGGACGTACAGAACCACACCGCACGACCAGATATCCGCCCTCGACCCATCGTAGCCCTTCTTCCGCAGGACCTCGGGGGCGACGTAGGCTGGCGTGCCACACCGTGTGTGGAGGAGCCCATCGTGGCGGAGCTGCTCCGGCAGGGCCGAGAGGCCGAAGTCGGAGACCTTGAGGTCCCCGTTCTCGTCAAGCAGCAGGTTCTCCGGCTTCAGGTCGCGGTGCGAGACCCCGCGGCTGTGGCAGAAGTCGACGGCGGAGATGAGCTGCTGGAAGTACTTGCGGGCGAGATCCTCCTTCAGCTTCCCCCGCGCCACCTTGGCGAAGAGCTCGCCGCCGCGAACATACTCCATCACTACGAAGATCTTGGTCCTGGTGGCCATGACCTCCTTCAGTTCGACGACGTTCGGGTGGCGGACGAGCCTCATGACGGAGATCTCGCGCTTGATCTGTTCCATCATGCCTTCCTTCTGGACGTGGTCCTTGCTGATGACCTTAATAGCGACGCTCTCTCCGGTCTGGAGGTTCTTGCCGTAGTAGACCTTGGCGAACGTTCCCTTCCCCAGGAACCTCCCCATCTCGTACTTCTGGAAAATCAGCTTCCTGTCGCTCTCCTCCATTGCCGTTCGGATCCAAGAAAGAAAAAGGGACTGGATGTGATGTTGGCAACCAGATCTCTCGGTCTCCGGAGCAGGAGGACCCTGCTTCGGCTCTGTCTTTCCCTCCTCCTCCTTCTTCTTGGGTTCTGTCAACAGTTACAGGTCAAGATTGGTGTGGGGGGGTTTTGGGAGGAGGGGTTGACTGAAGCAGCAGTGAGTAATGGAATCCATGAGAGGAGGGAGGAGATGGTGATCTGGAGAGATCCCATTGTAGAAAGAGAAGGGAAGGGGGAGTGAAAGAGAAGGGATTATATGGAGGAGGGCTTTGATTGCAAGGGCATTAAGGAGAGGTTTTGGAAAAAGATCGGAAAACGGGAGGAAGTTGGATTTGTGTCGTCAGTGCAATTGTTACCATTGGAGCACCCGGTGGTCTTTTGGTCTTTTTGAGAGATAGAGAGCGCACACAGAATGGAAGTCTCAGAAAGAGAAGTTTTTAATATGCAACGGCAGCACCTTGGAAAGGGAGGGGTCCGTGTAAAATGTGGGACAACCGAGGCCACGTAATTTATTCTTGAATCAGAAGATTACAACGGAGACGCTTTAGTGATTATTTATGACTAAAGTTAAAAGCTTTTCTAGGACTATAAAGCACAGAATAATAGGGCTATGATAGCGCCTTTTAGTGGTCTCTCTATGATATTATTGGCAGCGGCACGAAAAATAAATCAAGGGTTTTCCAAAATGGATCGATTTATTTCTTTTTGTGTAGACCAAATTGAATTGGAAAAGGTACCTATATGTTTGGTTGTCAGGTCGTGTACTCATGTGGTTGATTCTTCTGAGAAGTAATATCAAATCCTTTTATCTATCTTTCGCCGGTATTGGAATTGTACTGTTTATGGGATAGCAACTTTGTCCGTGTCAAATATTCGTGATTCTGTCAACTTCTACCCAGGAGCTTGAATCGCAAAAGAAGTAAAATTCGATTGTAATCGCATAATATATGATCCTTTCGATACACAAGTTTGTTTTTTTTTTCCCTTTTTTGCTGGGAATCTTTTGAATATAATTAATGATATAAATGTTCATCTAGAAGAGGGAAGGACAAGAGATCGATTTAAGAAAAAAGAAAAATCACAAGCTTGGTGATTGGTTTTAGAGTTTGGTGTTGTGCATGTCTGTATTGACCCATCTCTTATTTTCTTCAGTGGCTAGGGTTTTATCTTCCTCAGGTCATGGAAGAGGAGATGGGGCCATGGTTGTTCGTTGAGGTCGCCATTGCACCACAATGTCAAGTTTTCGTGGCTCCTAAAAGACGTGCGTACATGTGTTTATTAGTTGGGACACTTCTTTTCTCTTTCATTTTTTTTCAGGTCATTATTGTATCGTAAACTCCGAAAAAGTACAGGCATTGCATGTGAAAAGAACTTAAAAATTGGTCAATTTAGGAGGACCTTTGCAAACTTGAAAATAGGGTCGATTAAGGAGATTTTTGCAATGTGATGTTTGAAAGAATTTGGTTGATTTGAGAAAAAAAAACGGACTAAATTTTTCATGAAATAAGGACTTGACTTGCCATATAGAATACTAAGTATTTTGAGAAAAAAAATAAACGTTTGATAATTTGGTAAATTTTGGAAATCAACTTAAATTTTTTGTGAAATAAGAAGGATTTTTAACTTACCAAAATTAAGAAATACTTAGGTTTATGCGTGGAAAGTGCTAGAGATTTAAAGAATCGTGATTTAAAGTGTCGGAGATGTAATTCATAGTTGAATTACATTTTCGAGCATCATCGAATCTTACCTAAATGTGTGCACCTTCTTGCGCATATGGGCTTTTTTATGGGAATTTCTATCGCTAAAGAAATTTAAATCATATTGTAGGTTTGTTCTGCCATATAGAATGACAATAAAGATAGATGCAAAATTATTTTTTAGCTTAAAAGGGAAATAAATTAAATGTTGTACTTTTAGGGTTAATACTACGAAAAACTCTAAACTAGTATACCTCTAACAAATTTACCCTAAACTAATTTTATGACCACCAAAAACCTCAAACTGGTACACCTGTGACAAATTTACCCTTGATTAGTTTTGATTAAATTTTACCGTCAAATTGCTTAGTTAGATGACACGTGGCAGTTTGACAGGTGTACCGGCTTGAGGTTTTATCCTCGTTTGTCACAGGTGTACCTGTTTGTAATTTTTCGTGGTATTAATCTAATTTAACAGAAACTAAATGCGAGTAAATTTATTACAAATATACCAGTTTGAGGTTTTCGATTGTAAAAAAATTAGTTTTAGATAAATATGTTATGGGTGTACCAATTTAGGGTTTTTAGTGGTCAAAAAATTAATTTTGGGTAAATTTGTTATATATATATATATATCAATTTAAGGTTTTTTATGATATTAACCTATACTTTTATGACCAAATCGTACCTTCGTAATATTCCGCCGTTTATTCTTTTCATTTGCGAGTTTTCGTTCCCCGTCTTGTTCTCCATCTCCAATAGCACTTGTGAGTTGGTGCGTGAAGATTTTTTCTTCTACAATTCATTAGAATATTCAAATGGGTTGCCGACAAAGGAGTGTGCGCTCACCTTGGAATAGGACACGAAGAAACATTTGCATAGAGCAGCTCGCGCTTGGACACGTCGCACTTGGGCTTAGTTTGAATAATAAAAAGTTGCATTTTGATGACCCGTTATTGGTGGGGTCTAGGGCAAGCAAAGTCAATAGGAATAATACAAACGGTCGAAAGAAAGAGTTGACTTTAATTCCATGCAATAGGGAATTTGTACCATTTATTTTGATTTTCTTTAAAATGCTTCAATAGGAGTAGCACGACTGTCGTAACTTTTATGCGGTGCTTAGTTTAATTATATTCAATCGATTACTTGATTGTTGTAACTTTCGTACGGTGCTCGTTTGAATATTATAACTTTTAAAAAAGTTATTCGTCGTAAATGTAGGAAATCCGACGTATCGTGACACTTGTAGTGAATTTCTTTTTTAAGTTATAAGGCTCAAGTAATCGATTGAAAAGTTATGACACCCAAAAGGGGTCATGGTATTTGTGGTGTCTTTACAGTATTAAACCCAACTTATGATAAATCTCTGGTGAAAAATCTTACATGGTAAATGTTCTTATTTCTTCCTTTCCTTATGCATTTTCTTCCTTCTTTGAATTGGACTGGACTATCTTGATTTTTCTTCTTTGTAAGAATAGGGAAAATAAAGAAAACAAGAAGTCAACCGTTCACACTCAATTTTTGGAACCAAAAAAGCAGTATTTAATTAAGTTTGGTAAAGAATTTAATCAATCGTCGGCCTGGCATGTTCAGCGCAATTAGTGCCTAATGCTTGCCAACGCATTTCTTGGGCAGCAATTCAACACTATTGGGTGATTTTAACCTTGATTATTAACTTGATTATTCTTCAACCGGATTGCAATTAAAAGGAATTTATCGTGGCTCTGACACTTGTTAAGCAACTCAATTAAAGAAAGTCTGCAATTGCCAATGCGCTAATTTTCTCAGGTTGCCTCTATGTATGACGAAGCAAACCCGAAATATTGTTTCGACCAAAAAGTTTTACTTGATAAATTTCATGAAATGCACATAGTATATTGTTGTGGTAAAGAAATCGTGATTCGAAAATAATTTGAATTTCCAACACTTCACATCACGATTCTTCAAATTTCTAAAACAGACCAATTTTAAAAATCTTTTTTCCATCATATATGTAGGTTTTGTTTGCATACATATATCGTTGTTTAACAATAAAATCTTTTAACATGTTTTTAGTTTATTGTAAGGTTTTGTAATTGAAATCAATGTTTGGTTATATATATATATATATATATATATATATATATATATATATATTTTTTTTTTTTAATGCCATTTTCGTTGAACAACGCATGTCATGTCTAACCGCTCGTTGTGAATTTTTTGTGTCGTTAGTTCATAATACTTTTAAATTTTTGATGAAAATGACTGACATGTGGTTCAGTTAATGCTTATCGTCTAACATTCACATCACTAGATCATCAATTTCCAGCAAAAATCGCCCGGAATGACTACATTGAAATTTTGTACAAAAATTTAGGACTAAATTGATAAAATTAGAAAGTTCAAGATTGAATTAGCATTCATACCTCAATTAAACAATTCTACGACGGGTCCCTTTTACAAAGAAATCTTTATCCACCCATAATCCTCTCGATTTTCGTCAACATTCGAAAACCTTCCACCTGGAAGAGAGTAGGTCGCTGACCGTCGGACCGATTTGAATACGTGCCCCAATAATATCAAGGAGCATAAGCCAAGAGGACTGGCTCCAAGAATTCTATAAATCACGACAAAAATAAAAAAATAAAAATCTTTCTTCGCACGTAAAATTAGTCTATTTCAATTTTAAGTAAAGGTCCAATGCACCCGCCTTTTCGGAAATATTATATGCTTTATTATTGGGGTACGTTATAAAATAGAATATCTTCATTATTGAAGAGATAGAATATGTCTGAGTGGAGGGACCTCTCTAAGCACCCAACAACCCCCCATAACGAGGCAAAATGCGTGGCCCAAACACCATAAGATCTTCTGATCGCGAAGAGATGGGTGTGGGACATGTTGTTAGAAAAACAAAGGGGCGCGCTTTTTCCACTTCTCCTTTGGCTCATACACTCCTTTTTTTTGTGTGTGTGTTTTGACCATACCATCCCTTGTGGGGCCCACAACTTTTGATACAACTCTAGAAGAGTGATTTTTTTAATTATTCGATCCTTCTTCTTTTTCCTTGCGGGTCCCACTTTCCTTTTTCTTCTTTCTTTCCTCGTTTCAGTTCTTCGTTTCTGCAAATCATCTCTATATTTTCTCTTTGACAAGCCATTCTCTTAGGCCTCCCACTCCTTCTCCTTCTTCTTCAGTAAATCTATCTTGCATCTACAATCCCCAAAAAACTGCTTACTTTAGCAATCCGCACACTCCTCATTCATTATCAGAGGTACGGTTTTGGCGAAAGCTTGTTTTTTTGTTCTTTTTACTTTTCTTGTTCTCAAATCATGCTCATCCTAGTCTCTATTGAGTATTTCTTGATATTTTTTCTTAAAAGTGAATTTGACTTTGGGGTCGTGAAAATTCTTGATTTTGTGATTTAATTATGCGTTTAGAGCATAGTGTGCATCAAAACAGTGTTTGTGAATCAATTGCATAATTGCTTTGTAGTCTACAACATACTTACATCTTATAAACTTTTTCTTCCTCTGGGTTCAATTTCTTACTATCGTTTCCATAAGTTCTTGATGCTGTTGTTGCTTCTCATTAATTGACTTGTTGGAAATACTGATATAAGATATGTTTAATCTGGTTGTTTGATCTTAGGAGAATTAAGGTAATCTATTTTCTTTGATGACAATGGAGGCCAAAGGCGATTTGCAAGAGTGAAGAATTAAGACGTCAAA